ATTTTGGTAAATTGCATCTGGGCAATTTATGATCGATGAACAATGTGTCTGCATGTACACAATAGTTAATCTGAATGAAAAAATCACATTTGCTTCAGTGAATGCAGTGGTATATCTCATCCATAAAATTTATTGCTTTACACTTGTCCCACATGCATTTCTGCTACATGACATTTGTGGAGCCTCGATTTCTGGAAGATAATAGTACTGTCTCATGGGTAGTATCTCGCGTTAAACAAATGCATCCACTGTAACACTCATTGAGTAAAACAGAACGACAGAAATGATACATTACAGAAGGGGGCTGTTCAGCCCATTTTGTCCATACTGACCCAAAGACAAAGACAATCAGATGCCCCTTTCTAATCCCATCCTGTAGCCCTGCAGCTTGCTCCACTTAATGTTTGCAGTGTTCCATGCCACAGGTTGTGATACAAACAGATGGACGGCTGATTTTATTGTCACGTGTATTTTACAATGAGAGAAACAGCAAATACAGTGAAAAGTATTTCCACTGTCGCCACAATCCAGCTACATTTTGCATAATTTTAAGAAAAAAAATAGAAAGATATAGCTTAAAGAGAGTCCATCAATCCTGATAACTAAACACAGCACTTTGTTTTAAATTAAGATTGACTTTAGAAAGAACATAAAATCACAAAAATCCAGGCATCTGGATGGGTGTATGAATACGAAAGGTTTAGAGGGATATGGGCCAAATGAGACTAGATTAATTTAGGATATCTGGTCGGCATGGACAAGTTGGACCGAAGGGTCTGTTTCCGTGCTGTACATCTCTATGACTCTATGACTACAGCTCATGTTGGGCCTAGAGAGCCAGTATTTCTAAACCATATTTATCATCTGCAATACTGCATTTACAATAAATTTTAGCAAGTAGATTTGACAGGAGCTAACTCATACAATCCTGAAATAGATATTCACAGCAGTTCTACTCTTGCATCCATGATGTAAATAACTAGACACCTTACTGAATCTCCCTATTGCCCCCAAAATATGTGCAATTATCTATTCTCCAGACATAAAAGCACTTGCCAGGCTCTGGCATGCACCAGCACATAACCCAAGTGATCATCCTTCAACCTGAAACTATGATTATTATAGCTATTTGTAAGTGGTTGAAATTTGTTACTTTTTATTACATCTCCACACAAATCATTATTTTCAAACTTGGGGCCACTGATCTATGAAGGCAAAAGGGAAGGAACAAATGACTAATTGGGAGAGTAAATAGCTAACTGCAGCTGATTAAAGGGGAGCTTTAACATAAATAAATTTTAAAGAAACCATAACTAGGTAAACTAAAATAACACTTTGAAGGGTGGAGAGAGAGAGATAATGCATGCCTGCTCTTGAAGTTACCACCAATGGCAGAAGGCCACATGTACACCAGCAGACACTACATACTCCTTCTTCAAAAGAAACCCTGCTGCAGATATAACCATGGAAAGGAGCAAACAAATGAACACCTCATCTCCCAATGCCTGGAGTTTGTTTTATGTGGGTCTGAGGGGTCAATACCGAGCAGTGCAGCTTAGGATGTCAAAGAAGAAAGACCTAATAACCATATCTTCCTCAAAGTCTCAGTAACAATGCCTATTAAATGAATGTAACCTGCAACAAGTCACTTCTTGTTCAACACAACAGCCTCTTCCATTCAGCCTAGTAGTTGGTTTTCCTCTATCACCCTAGACCAAACAGGTCCTATGGATCCCTTAACACTTGGAAGATAGTTGCAGCAATCCTACCACATGGTGAGGTGCAGACTCAGTTTAGATGCCTCATATAATATTCTGGCAGTGGTGGGAGTCTGAAGATTCTTCAGCATCTTCAGAAATTTTAAATAGTCTGTTCATGCAGACAGACAGTCAGTTGATGGCAAGGAACAGCAGAAGAAACACACATGGCTAAGTTCAACATACAATTTCTTTGAGTCCATGGTAAAAGCTTTTCAGATCTAGTACAAAGGTACACTGCAGCAGTCGCATTGAGAACTCCATGAAGAGAGAGAACTAGTTTCTCCAAAACAGATACAGACTGCATCATGCTGCAGTGATGTGCAGGAGCAGTCAAGAGTTGCAATTCAGCCAAAGAACAAACATTAGAGGCTCCACAAATAAAGGATAAAATTCCTGGGAGGTAAGGGAAACCTCTGGTGCAATGTTACAGGCGATGAAAGCAAACAGAAAAGTTCAGACTGGAGTGTCACTGCCTTAGCAGGCAGCCACCATGGGCAAAGAAAATTAAACAGTCACAAAAACAAGTTAAATCCAGGTCGCAGACACAGGGAAATTGCATCACCAGAATTAAAGCGACAAAAGGAGTAGTTGGGAAGCCTAATCAGGCCTGGCGTAACAGAAGAAAGTTAGGAGACTTTACTAAGAATGGACGAAACTGCATGAATATCAGAAAGCATTTAGGTAAATGATGGAAAAAATGGAGTCATCCAGGAAAACACAATGGAAGAAATACAGATCATTATTAGAGCTGCAGACAGCAGGAATCATCAAGCATTGTTAAAGCAGAATTCATCTCAGAGCTTTGGATAGCGGGAGTCATTATGAAAACATAATTAAAGCAAACATCATTTACTGAAGTCTCAGACAGAAGGATTCATTCACTAAAGCATTTTGGAATCAGGAGCAATTAACTCTGAACTGCAGGATTCATCTAGTGAAGCGCTCAAAAAGACAGAAAACTTCAATTATAATTACGAAAGACAAGAACCTCCATTTTAGCTACGAATGAAGGAATCCTTCATTTTAAGTGCAGAATGTAGAGAAGCACTCCAGGACAGCGTCACAGAGCACCAGCACCGATATTAATGCAAAATAACATTTTAAGTAAGTTGAAAGAAATCACATTGACAAAACAAGACATCAGAAATAATGATTGATTATTGATTCTTGTCAAGAATTGGACATCTTGGAAAACAACTCTCAATTTTAATAGGAACTGCAGATGCTGGAGAATCTGAGATAACAAGGTGTACAGCTGGATGAACTCAGCAGGCCAAGCAGCATCAAAGGAGCAGGAAAGCTGATGTTTCGGGTCTAGATCCTTCTTTAGAAATCATTTCTGAAGAAGGGTCTAGACCCAAAACGTCATCTTTCCTGCTCCTCTGATGCTGCTTGGCCCGCTGTGTTCATTCAGCTCTACACCTTGTTATCTCAATTTGCAGAATAGCTTCCAAATTAGATATGAAAATGAGAGGATATGGTGTGTACAGCCCAATAGAGACCAGCATTGAGAATGGACAGCAATGTTCAATGATACAAGATACATCTGAAATTGTCTGTTTTGGAGCTTCAGGATACTGCAAGAATAACTTCTTGTTCCAACAAGTACGACACCCTCCATGAAGGAAAACCAAAAGATTAAAATGTCCTTAAGTTGAACGGGACCTCAGACCTCAACCTGTCAGAAAGAGAATCAAAGTCAAACCTTTTTCACCCAGCAAAATACTAGTCTTCCGAAGTCCAAAAGAACACATTTCAGGAGAACAGAGAAACTTCCACATCACCTGAATTTGTAGAGTCAGAGAATTGGGAAGGGGTGGTGGGAAGATGAAGTATTGACAAATATAATTAGGTATACAGATTAGCCAACTCGGTCAGGCCCAGAGCAGCACTCCCTCTAATTTTCTTATCGATTGCATGGGCCTCTGAGGCACATAGGCAACAGTGACTTCCAGAATCCAAAGTCAATGCTGCAATCAGCAGGATGACGCCAAATTGCTTCATTCAGAATAAACAACACTGCCCAGGAGCAGGCTAAAAAGGACACTAGACATCGTCCAAATTGCATCACTGAAGGTTAGGAACTTGGAGCTGAAGTGAAGTAAATATTGAGGAATGGCCGCTTTAAATAATAGAAAAAGGAATGCAAATCTTGCACATCCAATATAGGCGTGGAACATGGACTCATCAAGGCTGCAGAAATCACAGGTGGCCCAGACATCAGGGAACCAACTTAATAAATGGTTGCATGGACATAATACCCTCCATGCCAAACTATTGATGGCAAAGTGAACTGCCACTATGGGCCTCTCGGTAGCAGAATGGACAACACTACACAAAATTCGTCTTTCCATGTGTCGAAAGTACTTCATCAATCAATGCCCACTACTTGTATATGCTCAATCTAAATGAGGCAATTAACTCACTAATCAACATGATGACATAATGACATTTTTAAGTTCAAGCAGAAAACATCATAATTAGGTATCTACATATGCATGCACATCTGTACTGTAACCTTATCTCTTGTACAAGGCATGGTTTACAATACATATTTTGTCTGTATTTCTTATATTTTAAAAACACACTTCAGTATTGTATCTATGTACTTGATTGATTTCTTAGAATTTGTTTTTCATGCATTTTTGTTTTATTAACTGCATTTCTTCTGTTTTTCAAAATATAGCAATAGCACCAGGCCCTAAATAAATGCAAAACTAAGAACAAGAAAATTTAGAGAAGACATTTCACTAGGATTTTGATGGAAGTTGTCCAATAGCACACAAAATACAGCAGAAAAGTGCACAAGTATAATTTTTGGACCAGCTTTACGTACCAGGCAATGGCTACGTGGCTTTTACAAGGTTAAGGTGGGGGAAGAGATTCATTCACTGTCCCCTAGAATATAACTATCCTAATCCCAACATACGCAGTAATAAGAGAAGAATTCAACGTTGTATAAATATAGTCTCACTTGAAAGGTGCTCAAAGGTGTAACATAATTTAAGATTAGTTAATAAAAATCTTGATTATCTTCTGGTTTAGAAGACCAACTAAGCCATCTAATGGCATTTAAATTCTGTTTATTCATTTTGCCATGTAAACATATAAATATATAACTACAGATTTAGCCAAGTGTTCAGGATTCAATTCTAGCTATACATCTTAACAGGCACGGTAATGGTGAAATAATGCTTCTGGCTTTCAAATTCACTGCACCTACAGAGGAAATGTACTTACTTTAGAAGCAGGAAATTTCAAAAGTCATCAAATTGTTCTTGCTGGATTCTATTCCACCTACAGAGAGTAAACAGGAATGCTTTAAAATGATTTCAAATAGCCCACAAACCATAGAACTACAACATCTTATGAAGCTTAAATTGGAGACAAGTGGAATTCCAGGATGATATTTTCTATCAGTATTTGTAAGATTGCATTGTGCTAGTGCATTAAAAATCCTATTTCTCACATCACAGGAATGGCAGGATTCGGGAACCTTGAATGACAGGGGAAATTATCAGCTTGTGACAATACTATGACTATAAGAGGTGTATTTTGTCCTGTTTTTTTTAAATGAAGAAAAATTGAGCCAGAGGTGTTGAGTCGTCTGCTTCAAAGCCAACAAAGTAAACAGCTCGTGAGACCTCGGTTTTTTTGTTAAAGTTGCAACAATAGAAGCAGCCTGGTACAAAAGGTAGAGTCTCAGGGGATCCTGGGTGAGTTACCTAGATGGATACAAAACTGGCTTGGTCGTAGATGACAGAGTATGGGTGCAAGGGTGCTTTTCAGAATGCAGATCAGTAACTAGTTGTGTTCCGCTGGGATCGGTGCCAGTACCAATGATCTGGAGAAAAATGTAGGTGGCCTGATTAGTAAGTTTGCAGACGACACCAAAATTGGCAGAGTTGCAGATAGCGAGGAGGACTGTCAAAGGGTACAGCAGAATATAGATAAATTGCTGATTTGGGCACAGAAATGGCAGATGGAGCTTAATCCAGACAAATGCAAGGTGATGCATTTTGGAAGGTCAAAGTCAGGTGTAAATTATACAATAAATGGCAGAATCTTTAGAAGTATTGACATATGGAGGGATCTAGGCATACAGGTCCACAGATTGCTAAAAGTGGCAACACAGATAAATAAGGTGATCAAGAAGACATATAGCACACTTGCCTTCATTGGCCAGGACATCGAATATAAAAGTTGACAAATTATGATACAGCTGTATAAGACTTTAGTTAGGCCTCATTTGGAATATTGTGTGCAGTTCTGGTTGCCAATCTCCTAGGAGGACGTGGATGCTTTGAAGAGGGTGCAGAGAAAGTTTACCAGGATATTGTCTTGTCTGGAGCATTTTAGTTATGAGACTGATTGGAAAAACTTAGATGATTTTCACTGGAAAGAGTCGGAGGGGCACACGGATACAAAATTATGAGAGGCATAGTTAGGGTAAATAGCCAGAGGCCTTTTCCCAGGGCGAAAAGCAACTACAAGAGAGCATAGGTTCAAAGTGAGAGGGGGAAAATTTAGGGGAGAAGGGCAGGGAAATTTTTTTCACACAGTTTGGTGGGTGCCTGGAATGCACTGCCAATGGAAGTGGTGCAAGCAGACACGTTAGCAATGTTTAAGGCGTGTCTTGATAGGTACATGAACAGGAGGCAAACAGAGGGACAGAAACCGCTTATGGGCAATAATTAGCAGTTTAAAATAAGGATTAGGAATCGGTGCAAGCTTAGTGGGCCAAAGGGCCTATTCCTGTGCTGCACTGTATTGTAAATTTGCAGTCCTGACTGAGACAAAAAAGGGATAAACTGACCACATTCTACAATGGCTGCTTGATCTGATTAAGTAGCATCTGCTTTGTCATAATCATTGTAATATCAGTTTACAATTTTTACCAGTTGAAGATGTTATTTATTCTTGCTGAAATGAATATTTTAAAGCATAGTCACTTGGCAATACAGAATTTGGGTCTTGCTGAAAAGAAGACACGCTGTTGAAGCTTTTTATCTTGCGCTCATCAGGCAAATGCAAGAATACCATCTTTCGAAGGAACCAATTTATATTGCAAGAGAAACATTTTAGGTGCATTTCTTGTGCAGTACAAACTGTTGTTCTCTTTGCATGTGAACCCATGTCCCTGGAACAATTGCCCAAGGATTTGAATTACTGGTCCAGTGTCGTTATCACAACAACACTGCCTACCCCCAAATTTCTGTTACACGATACACACATTTTACATTTTTAAATAGAACATAGAACATAGAACATAACAGCGCAGTACAGGCCCTTCGGCCCTCGATGTTGCGCCGACCTGTGAAAACCAATCTGAAGCCCATCTAACCTAAACTATTCCATTATCATCCATATGTTTATCCAATGACCATTTAAATGCCCTTAAAGTGGGCGAGTCTACTATTTTTGCAGGCAGGGCATTCCACGCCCTTACTACTCTCTGAGTAAAGAACCTACCTCTGACATCTGTCCTATATCTATCACCCCTCAACTTAAAGCTATGTCCCCTCGTGCTAGCCATCACCATCCGAGGAAAAAGGCTCCCACTGTCCACCCTATCTAATCCTCTGATCATCTTGTATGTCTCTATCAAGTCACCTCTTAACCTTCTTCTCTCTAACGAAAACAGCCTCAAAACCCTCAGCCTTTCCTCATAAGACCTTCCCTCCATACCAGGCAACATCCTGGTAAATCTCCTCTGCACCCTTTCCAATGCTTCCACATCCTTCCTATAATGCGGTGACCAGAACTGTACGCAATACTCCAAGTGCGGCCGCACCAGAGTTTTGTACAGCTGCAACATGACCTCATGGCTCCGAAACTCAATCCCTCTACCAATAAAATCTAACATACTGTACGCCTTCTTAACAACCCTATCAACCTGGGTGGCAACTTTCAGTGATCTATGCACATGGACACCGAGATCTTTCTGCTCATCCACACTACCAAGAATCTTACCATTAGCCCAGTACTCTGTATTCCTGTTACTCCTTCCAAAGTGAATCACCTCACACTTTTCCGCATTAAACTCCATTTGCCACCTCTCAGCCCAGCTCTGCAGCTTATCTATGTCCCTCTGTAACCTACAACATCCTTCTGCACTATCCACAACTCCACCGACTTTGGTGTCATCCGCAAATTTACTAACCCATCCTTCTACGCCCTCATCCAGGTCATTTATAAAAATGACAAACAGCAGTGGCTCCAAAACAGATCCTTGCGGTACACCACTAGTAACTGAACTCCAGGATGAACATTTCCCATCAACCACCACCCTCTGTCTTCTTACAGCTAGCCAATTTCTGATCCAAACCGCTAAATCACCCTCAATCCCATGCCTCCGTAAATACTTTGCTCGTAAAGGGATGAACATTGTGGGCTACTTACAGCACTTGGACTACAGCAATTCAAGATGGCAGGTCACCACCACCTTCTAAAGAGCAATTAATGATGGGAAATAAATGCTGGCCCAGCCAGCAATGTTCACATCCCACAAGTGAATAACAAAACAAGTTAAAAGTCAACAAAGAGGGGACGGAAGTCAATCAGGATCCTTAATCTTGAGACATATCCAGCAACGCTGCTACAAGTATGTATGTTGATGTCATCAATCCAATAGGACAATTGGAGTCTCCAGGAATGAAAGATATATCTCCTCAATACTGCTGTGAGTAACCCAGCAGAAAAACTATAAAGGCATTTTTTTTTTTTCTAATTTTCTTTGAACAATTTTGTTGGTTTAAAAAAACCTGGAGACGGCTGCCTGACTGGTTAGGGTGGTTGATGTGATAAATTCTCCCGGAACATGTCCAACCAGAGTTGTGAACTCCAGCATACATGCAAATGACTCAGCTTCCTTGGCTTCTTGGCACGGACTTCCCAGTTTTCACAGAAAACAAACAAAGGCCAAAGGCATATTAACCACATTCAAGGCATTCCTGTCTAAATATGGTGTGCGTTGTGTTTAGGCACGTTACAGCTGTGAACTGTGGGTAGGTCAGTTTTTCTTAATAGTTAAACCACAACATTAAATTGGTTTGGAGTTTGCAGGATAAATTATTAGTTGTTTTATTATTCTCCTGGCTAGAGGGTTATAAACACAGATGTATTTATTTAATGAAAAGGAAATTGGTGTAAAAAGCAGGTACACTAAAAAATCCAAACCATTTGCTGTAATTTCTGAGGTTATCTTAAGATTTAGAATCACCTTTCAATATTGATACTTAAGTTGGAACTGCAAATTAGAGTAAAGTTTTTATTTAGGAAAGTACGCAAGTTTGAAGTGGATTAGTCTTTTTTTAAATTTCAGCAGAAGTTATTAGTAACTGGAATATTAAAGTATGTTTGTGTCTATATTGTATATTTGTTTGCAAGATCTGATAATTCTTTCCAAATTACCATGAAGCATGTCAAAATAATGTATAATTAAATTAAAAACAAAAAAGAACAAAGCTATTTTACAAGCCAGCCAATTGTCTTTGCAATTGCCTTAGGTCTGGAATATGCTTAGAAGTTTGGCAGCTAACTTCCTAGCCTGATAAAAAAAACGAAAGAACAGTGGATGCTGTAAATCAGGAACAAAAACAAAGTTACTGGAAAAGCTCAGCAGGTCTGGCAGCATCTGTGAAGGAGAAAACAGAGTTAACGTTTTGGGTCTGGTGACACTTCCTCAGGACTTCCTAGGAAGTGTTCAACTTCCTAGCCTGCCTCTTTAAGCTACTACTTAGCTCATGGCCTCTATGGGTCTTGGAGTCAATCAAAAGCTATGTATTCTCGTTACAAATTTCTTTGCAGAGTCTTGTAGCACAGTGATAACATCCATAACCGCTGAGCAAGGAGGCTCAAGACCATCCTGCCCCAGAAATGTGTGATAAAATTTCCAAATAGGTTGATTAATTGAATAATTTTTTAAGCTGAGGGAAGAAAAATAAATAATATTTTTGTATATTTATTTTAAATGTAGTTTAGTCATTTTAAATTTAATAAACTGAATCGTAACTGAACAAGATATGGGGACTCTACTATGATGGAGATCCTTAACACTAACATTTGATATGCAAATACTGCAAATTTAGAATGATCCATCAATTTAAGACGGGTTTTGAGAGTGGTATAGTGTTTGGAGCACCAGCATGACTCACAACAAAGTGACAACAAGGTGCAGGGCTGGATGAACACAGCAGGCCAAGCAGCATCATAGGAGCAGAAAGGCTGATGTTTCGGGCCTAGACCCTTCATCAGAAAAGGGGGAGGGGAAGGGGGTTCTGAAATAAATAGGGAGA